ATTTTAGGACAATCTAATAATCAGACCTTATAGATATAGAGCATGCAGGATTTATGGTTGATTGGTCAATTTCAAAGCACTTCATATTCTTACGAGACAATCTTAAAGCTAGCACAAGTACAATAAAAAAATGGTGGCAATGGCTAGCATATAAGCCAAATTTATATCTATGACACTTGAATTTGTAAATTGTTATGGTTAAAAATAATTATAAAAATGTAATGATTAAATGAAAAGATTTTGGAAGACTATTGTGACAAGTCAACAATCAATATTTAAAAAAATTCCATGCAGTATGACTGAGAAAGTATAGGGGCAAAGCTAAACTGTGGTTCAATATGTACTTGGTTTGTCATCACAAATGGAGAATTTGCGAAAATTCTCACCGAAAGATTATCATGCACAATATTTCAAAAATTGACATGCAAGCTTGAAATGGGTAACATCCATTCATCCCCTCGAGGGAAAGTTAAATAAAAAATTAACCCGCCTTACAATGTCGTCATTAATTCCCCCTCCATCAGTTCTACCAACATTAATGTTCCACCAGAGTCAATAATCCTCTACCATTTTTATTCATTTCACGTGACATTAAGAACCCATAAAATTATTAGTCACTCATAAATCCGTGAACTACTATAATTATTTTATAATAATAATTTTTCCATTTCATCAATTTAAGGACAATTCTAATTTCTATTATTATTATTATCATTTCCTAATTTTATACCTTTGAAGTTCTCTTAGGATTGCATAAAACAAATGTTGAAAAGAAACTATCAATAAATTCTCAACAGTTCTTGTAAATATTTTCTTCAAATCATCCTAGAACAAGTTTTTTCAGGATATTGTTTTATATGAAATAAATTTAATTTCATTTTGCTTCATTTTACTAATTTTGTTTTAATTATCAATTTTTTTATAAGTTAGATTTCCGTATCCATCTAAGTGAAGACCCATTGTATAATTGAGCCACACAAAAAAATATTATATAAGCTTTTCTCTATGTTGAAATGCCTTTCCATGAGTTTCAGATGCTTTAGTTGTCTATATACTTCTAAATCAAGGACCATTAGTACTTCTTTCCTACAGGAGAAGAGAGCTTTTAGTTTGCATTATTATCAATGTCAGATATATAGTTTGATGGAATCTTTAAATTGGAATTGTACTTTGGAATCAATTTATATTTGCATGAGACTAGGGATTCCATTTTTCGATTTTTAAATAGTTGACCAAAGATTTATTTTGTGTTTTTAGTTGTTGTGATCCCGATAATTTTTTTTTTGTTGAGTTTTTATTGCATGGTATCAAAGCTCAGTGACTGGAGGTTGATGTTCTTTGGCTAATGCCTTCAATTTCAACTCCAGCTAACTAGAGTAGAAATTTTGAATTCCTACTCTACTCAAAGCCTGAATACAAAAATAAACGGGATCGAGAAGGTTGGTTTTGCCATCTCCTGAGATTGATAGCCACACAGATTCTGGATGACGAAAGAAAACAAAGATTAATGCTAATTTGTATAATAATGCTTTTTGTTGTTCTAATTAGACATTAAATGCATATTTGTCACTTACAAACCTTGCTCTGGCATGGCTAAAACCCCCTTTAAGTCCCAAATGGGTTCAATTTTGAAAGTTGAGAGCATCATACATCATATTTGCCCCATTTTAAGCTCATTTTACTCTCTAAATGACCATTCATTAGAAAGCATATTTAAATTTGTAGTTATGCTTCCAAGGAAATTGTCAACCAAGATAATGTTGAGTTTTTACGCTTCTGGTGGTGTAGCCAAACCAAGGAGTGTAGCTAGATCTTTTGACTTGAAAAACCAAAGCTATATGTCAACCTAACAAGGCACTTTGTTGAAGTTGGCCCAATTTTTATGATTAGTTGCCTCCAGAGTGGAGTTATCCCATAGTAACTAAACAATAATGTTTGATAAACCCACCAAACTTGAAGCTGAGGTGGTACTATGTTCTCTTGACAACATGTGTTGTCATTCATTTGGTGTGAATGGCCCATTATAGCAGGTTGACACCCTTGCAAGTCATGGCCATTGTAGGCACTCCTTGCCCCAAAACCTTCTTTGGCTCCATCCACTTGGAACTTGGCTCCCATTTAAAGGTTTTTTGCTTCTACAATAATAGATTCAGTATTATCGAAGTGTTAAACATAATGTGATTTATAAGAGCTCTTTGTTGCATCAATATGCCAAGCACAAAGCAAAGCTATATTTTTACTAACTGTATCGTTCATGAATTGAATATCACATATGGCTATATTATGTGTCTATAATAGTCATTTAATTAGCCAAATTTAAATGTCATTAAATAAATTGTCAATAAATATAATAACATGCCAATAAAACTAATGTTTAGCTATCAGAAAGACAAGAAAAACCGAAGATATAGATAATGAAATAATAAAAAAATACTCTTAAAATTGAGTGACAACTAAAGATCAAGAAACAGAAACAACTTGAAGTGAGAAGCAATGTGAGGATGAAGCAATGAGAAGCATTCTCAAGAAGAAACACGTGAGTGAGAAGCCAAGGCAAAGTAAACATTTGTACATAGTTATTGTGACAGATGCATGATTGAAAAATGAAACCTGAACTAGGATTTCATTTAAAAGCTAGGTAACACAGAATGCCATGTTGCCATGCAACAAAGCAGCCTGGCATGCGCATGAATACTACCCTGTGCTACACAGGTAAATGATATAAAGGCCATGACGCCGTTCTAGGGTTCCTGAAAGGTGCTTTAGAAGTGGATTTAGTGGGGAGGGGGTTGCGGAATGACAAGGAAATGAGAATATGGGAAGTCGATGGCGTTTGGAAGGGAATAGGAGTCATTCAGCGGCTGTTCGAGCTAAAAACAGCAGATAGAACCATGAAACGTCAAGGAGGTTCACCACCTATTCCTAAACAAATTACAGCCACACCACTTGCAAAAAGAAATTAATAGAGCACTCCTTAGGCAAAAATTGGATATTACAATCTCCTAACTACACAAAATACAACAACAACAACCCAAAATAAAACTAAAAATTTTCAAACCAGTTCTAAAATAATATATTTATACTAAGACATAAACTAAACCCTAGTTAGAAATAACAAAATAGAAAATAAGGGTACCATGGCTTGTACAACTCGAAATAACGTGAGATTTCCTGCTATAGTGGTACTTGGGACGGGAAATTATCCCGGTATGCTCGCGGGATTGTGGGTTCCACGATCCGCTCGATACAGGAGTTGGGACAACCTCGTCAGGCCAACAATTACTTCACTCCTAAAACAAGGTTTTAAAAATGCCAAATGATTATTAAAAATGCATTCGCTTGCCCAATTTGATAACAAATTTCTCCTCTTCAATTGCAACAATTGCAATTCCATTTGACTCTTCCTCCCCTCTTCATACACAACTTGATTAGCCTCTTTTATCACCATTCCATGAGTTGTTCTGAGTACTCGCCAAATCCTATGTTGACCTCTTGTCACTCTCTGATTATAAATTTTGTCCTATATTGATTGAACTCTTGTCTTCCTCTCGTTTACAATGAAGCTCAAACTCTCTTTTGCGTCATCTTCCACCTCTTCCTAGAAAGTCTTTAAAAGTTTGATATCCAATTTGATAACAAATTTCTTCTCTTCAATTGCAACAATTGCAATTCCCATTGACTCTTTCACCCCTCTTCATACACAACTTGATTAGCCTCTTTTATCACCATTCCATGAGTTGTTCTGAGTACTCGCCAAATCCTATGTTGACCTCTTGTCACTCTCTGGTTATAAATTTTGTCCTATATTGATTGAACTCTTGTCTTCCTCTCGTTTACAATGAAGCTCGAACTCCCTTCTGCGTCATCTTCCACCTCTTCCTAGAAAGTCTTTAAAAGTTTGATATCCATTATTCATAATTAAAGTCTAACCAAGTTGCTACAAAAGATAAACATGGGAAACCAATGGATTAAAGGTTACGTCATTGTAAGATGAGCAACAGAAATAACAAGGCTACTATATGTTTGGTGATTAAGATTATTCCTCAATTTCTTCTTGTTCTGTTGCTTCTACTGCTATTCACCTGGCATTCACTTCTAATAATGCAAAGAGTACCGATGCTTGGCATGGTGCCAATAAGAAGGAAATTGTAACCATTGTTTTCATTCAGAGTGTTATTTCTCCTCCTTGCACGTGATTATATAAGGTAAAGGGTAAGAGCGGTGGATCTTCTTAAAATTTTTTTGAAGATTTAACTTCAGACTATTAGTGACTCTGCAACCATATCATATAAAACAAGCGTGATGATCTTTAATGACAAAGGGGGTGCTAAAACAAACGCTCTTTCCTAAAAAGTAAATGATCAAATCTCCCTGATAAAAATATTTTCCATATCATGTTTTATATGATATGGATTTAAAATGATTTGATTTCATTTTATTAGAATAAATTTGTTTTAGGATTGCTTTTGGTGAAAAAAAGGTGTAATTCATCTATATAAAATTGGAAGAATCATAAATAAATTGAGCCAGAAAAAAGGAGTATTATTTATGCTAAACAATTTTTCTCCTCCAATTTGAAATTGTTCACCCATAAGTATTGAATACTTTAATTTTCTACATATACTTTCACTACCATTAAGAATTTAGTCCTGTGAGAGAAGAAAGCTTTGCACGTTTGCATTACTATTCATGTGGAAATTATAGCGTGAGCGATTCACATTGGGTTCAAGCCTCTGTTTTGAATGAGACCTGGAATCCCTTTATTATTTTTAAAAAAACTGTCGGAGAAATTGATTTTTTTGCTTTGAGTAAATGCAATCCAGTGCAACTCATTTTTTTAACAAAATAATTAAAAATAGCAAGTTGATTTAAAATGAAATAACCACTCAACCATAAAGAGAATCATTTAAATTTCCATGTTATAAAGATAAAAATGATGCGTGTTTCAAATAGATAACTGGATCCCAAAAGCAATAAGAGTTTGAGAACAGCAAACTTACCTCCTCAGCCTGGAAGTGGATGGCATATTTCCCTAGGCCCAATGAATGCAATAAGCTAGCAACAGTAAGTGGTACCTCAGTCTGTCAGAAATCAACACACATATCATGCAAGATAAATATTATTTCCAATAAGGTTGACAAGAAGCCAAGGACAGCACAAATTTTTTAATCCATGCAGAAACATACAGAAATCCACAGAATTTGCAATGTAATCAACCCTAGCACAGAAAAGTTACTCCGGTGAATTTGAAAACGGATGTCAAGAGGAAATATTTTGATAATAAGTTCAGCAGAACAATATAAATTCATTAACGGATACTACTGACCAGGCTTAATAGGCTTAATAAGAAAGAAGGAAATTTAAATACATAGCACACAATTCTCACGTATTTAAATACTTCACACCTAAACTTTCGTATTTACATACATAGCACTTTGGCATTTTATAGGTATACATAAAAATGTGTATTCATTTTAAAAAATAGTAGTGTTATCTTTGATGTGATATTAAATTTTTGAGTGTTGTGTGTTTAAATATGAAAGTTTAGGCGTGAGATATGTAAATACATAAGAATTGTGTGCTATGTAAGTAAATGCCCCTAAGAAAAATTAGTAAATGACTGGCTATAAAACATTTCTTCAAACATTGAAAGGGAATTAAGATTGCCAAAGACAGTAAACTATTATATGATAATAAAAAAAGATACAACACAGTTAAAAAAAGATTAAATATACTGTGTTTTTTAGCCATTTAATTACCGCACATAAATGAGAAAAACATGTTCGAATTTTTATGTACCACAAGTTGTAACTGTAACTAAATTTAGAAATTCTAAATAAAAAAAAATATAACAACATCAGTTAGCGTTATAATAGAATACTTCTGCCGCATCACAATAGTTTTTTTCTCTGCAAGAGTGCGATGAAGTTAATTTGTATGTCCAAATATTGATATGAAAAATAAAAGAATGTTCTTGGTTCAGATACGGTTTCAATCAAGCGGATAGGCTAAACAATTATTAAATAAAAAATTCAACGATATAAACCAACCAAAATAACAGGTTTCTGAGCAGCATCAGGAGGAGCTCGCAAGATAGGCTTTGCAGCATCAACCGGAATAGCTTTGCTCATAAAAGGTGCGGGTCTTGAAGTGTCTGCAAAACTTCTTGTAACATGACCTGTTGGCCTCGAATCACCGTAAGGCCTGATAAGTGAAGTATTGTATGCTTCATCATAGCATCTCAGTGGGGAAATGCGTCTATAAGCACCTATTAGCCCATCTGGAGATCTACACCTTTGCCCATCCGATGTCAAAGGGTAGGGTTTTCTGGATGAGTCTAGCCGAAGTAAATCATCAGCACTTCTTGCAGGAGGTATTCTCCTTGAAAGGCTGGAGATCCTTGATTCAGGCAAATTTTGATTTGATTCTTTTCTCAATAGGATTCGAGAGTTACGAGAAAGTTTCTCACGAAGATCGACACCAATTTGTTCTTCAGAACCACTTTTACCCCGGGATAGACCTTTGCTCATGAGCTTGTGTCTCAGGTCATTCCGACTAACTCGGCCGTCAGGATATGTTAAGAGTTAAAACAACAATAGAAGATTCCATTGAATGAAGTGTGTGTATGCATGTGGTAGTGGTGGTGAAGGGTACTTGTAGCCCCAGGGCTTTCAGTAAAAGGATACTGGACATGCGGTGCCTTTCATCAACCATGTGATTGTTACTTGGATTATAATTATTCGTTCGTTGCCTGTAATAAATAATGGATTTATTATAAAGTAAAATAAACATTAATTATAAATAAATTTTGCAATAATTATGAATTAATCAAACAATTTCAAATTTACACGAATATATATATCTACAAACCTTTTGCTAAACTGATTTTCATGATGGCTTTCTGTATTATTTCCCAACCTTTCTCTAAGAGACCGCTTTCCCTCTGATGATGGATAATAGCCAGAGCTGCTGACATCAACTGTGGTTGTTGTTCTTTTGACAACCTGCAACTATTTAGGTGAGAACAACTGAAATACAATAATAAGGACAAAAAAAACCCTTTAGAGATCGACCCTAAAATTATGAGTTTAAGTCAGCTAAAATGAAAAGCAATATGTAGAATCCTTACTGAAATAATTTAATAGATAAATAACAGAAGTTCAGAACATTAAACAACTGGTACTTAGCTCATTATCTTGAATGCCAATTAATTTGCTTTTCTTATTTTGAAAAGTGGGAGCGCCTAGCTTAACAACTGATAGAGTTTCATCACCAAGCATACAATCCATTAAACCTTAAATCTTCCCAACCTGTTAAAAGTGCATTTCTACTGATAGCAAAGATGAATACCAGCCTTCCCTGAGAACAAACCTCTAAACTTCCATAAGAATCAAACTTAATATAGCAATCATTTCTAACATCCCGACCAGGAAAAAACAATGATTAATTGTCACAGATAACAATCACTTGGGACCTCTTTGAAAGTACAAGTGCATTTCGTGTTTTACAGTGTCTACAGCATTTTTTGTTTTCTTTTAATATAACACTGAAGTGAATAAATCTCATGTCAAAGAATTGGATCGTGAGAGAACAGGAATCAATATGCAAAAATGAACAAGTGAGAATTCATAGGATGTAAATTGGTTTGAACCCTTTACCACAATGATAGCAATTCCCCCCACCCGACCACCTTTCCCTTAAATCCATGGCTAAATCAACCATCTATGTATAGTAACATTTCCTTTATAACCTGATATCTTATTCAACAAGCCATATAGCTAGGAATCTCCCTCTCAAGGGCTTGTATAAAAGTAGGCAACACTGCTTCTTGGTCTAAAAATTCCAAGCAGGATGGATGACTTAATTTTCCCAATAGAAAGAGATAATTTATGATCAAAGACCTATCACTCAAGGGATAGGATCAATAGAAAAAGGAAGGTGAAATAGAGTAAGGCTTGGCATACCTGCCGAGAGATTGATTCTTGAATCATGAATTATATTTGCCATTACTTGTGACTTTTATTCACAAACCACAGGGTTTGTTGCTTAGTTGAGAGCTATGAAACAAATATAGGGAGGTTCAAAACTAAAGCAAGCACAATATCATGAAATGGTTGTTATAATCAATTTAGGCCAAATTTCATGCGATACCACTCATTTAAGCTACAAGAACACGTACATACATATGTGAGAATTTCCACCTTATTGAAGATTTATTGTTGCTAATCAATAACTTTGATGAATATCCATTGCAACTAAGAGCAGTTGTTTCCCATACAAACAATTGTTGTTATACCATCTCAAATGCCAGAGCATCACATATATAGATGGAAAAAGCATTGATTTACTTCCAGCAGCACTATAGTCTTCGTATAATTTTTTTCTTTATTCTTTCCACAATGAAATTTTCTGCACTCTTTTGCCATATGATTACAACACAAACAAAATCATACAACACTTTATTAAAAGGAAGACCACTGAGATGAGAAATTCATTAACCATCCATCTTTTTAACTATTAGGGCATGTAGACTGCCACTCAAACTAAGACAAGCAGTATTGTGTTTAACAGAGCACATAAATAACACCTGCAGTACCAAAATCATGACCTGGTTTAAGCAGAAACCAAAGCCTCAAAGGTGGATGCTTCTTTTAAATTAAATGGATCGAAGTGTAGTCCATGCTCGTCACATAACTAATTGTTATTTGGATGCCAACCGAGTAAAACATACTAGAAAACAGTCTACAATTTTCCATGTCAATTTTACTTTTAATCCATCCATAACAGACACAACTCTTAAAATTTGAAACTAAATTAATGTTAATAAAACTACAGTACAACATCATTGATGTGATTAATTAAACCAAAGAAGTTAATGCTACATCAACAGGTTCAAAAATTAAGTTAAACTTAACATTAATCTACGAGAATCATTTTTTCAGTGGTTCCAATAATGATAAACGCATTGTCCAACCATCCAAAAAAATTCTTTCAGAACATTCAGCTAAAATTTAGAGAATCAATAATGTTAATACACTAAACAAAAGTAGTTTTATTACTAGTTAAAGTCTCATTCCATTCCCCATAATCGTGCCAAACGAACATCACCACTCTCCTCTCAACTAAATGTCCAACACTGACCTCTCTCTCTCTCCCTCTCGCTCTCTCTCTCTCTCTCTCTAGCTACTCGAGAGGTTGCAAAGGGAAACATTAATTGGGTGGACAAGAAATCAAGAGGTCAATAAGAAAATCAAATATGAAGAAAAGGAAATGAGCCAAGGAGAGAACTAGTAGATCAAGGAAGACAAGAGAAAAGGGCATCAACGAAAAGATTACCCTTGACATTTTGGCGAAACTCAAAATCCCTACATTATTTACTAAATTCATTCATTTAGTCTCCTTAGCATATATCCCTCTTGTATCCACAGCCCCGAATTCCATCGGCCTAGTTCATCGAATAAGGAAATCTTACTTTGCTTATCCTATTCTAGAAGTTCACCATAGAAGAATACACAAGGAAATCAATCATATATTTATATCAGTTCAATATTTTATGTACTGCAACAAGAAACATAGCTTTGGTAAACAACTCCTTAGAATGAGTGGTTCACCAGCAATAATTCTCTCAGATTTACATGAATAGGTCCATGCGTAGTTGTATAGGCACACACAAACATAAATGCATATAATTTTAAGTTTAAGGTAACAGTTGAGCAGATAACGAATAACTAAACATTATTGAAGTGAATAGCTAAGCTTAAATGTTGCATCTAAATTCATATGACTCAAGGCAAAACAGCCCCTAAGCATATTAGCATTCTTGTATTTAAAAGTACCCCTTGATAGTCAGGTGGAAAACTTCGAGATTATGATTTCAACATCATGCATTTAAATTTATCTCCAAGCATGGTTCTTCAAATATGCCAATTTACTCTTGACCACTTATTTCCATTGCATATTCTCTTTGTTTAGTCATACTGATACTAATTTATGTTCTACATTCCAAATAGACATGAAAATGCACTTATTCCAATTAATATAATGTGAAAATATGCAATGAATTTCAATATATCAACATCTCTTTCACACCAACAGTCACCATCTATTGGAAAATGATACACCTTCAAATGTGTCAAATTCCAACAATTATCAGCTATGGTTTCCAATTTTTTCTCACTCTATTTCAATGCTAAGACCATCCAATATATCAAAATATAGAAGAAAAAATGTATTTTCCATCATTCACCCAAACTGATCAACAACCATCCAAGAAAGCATATTCCAGCAAACAGAATATCAACCAATAAAAGAAATAAGCAACAAGCATCCATGATATATGCATCAAAGGTTAACGGTGCATTTGGGGTGGTGGTGCGATGCAGAACCTCGGTTTTTCTGTTTGACAAAACATGTTTTTGTCTGCATTCTAAAAAATATGCCGCTGGAAGCTACGTTTTTCCACCAGACATGGCTACCTAGAAAATAGCGGTTTGACTTTTTAATTTTTTTTTTTTGTGAAAGCCACCACAATTCATTGAAGAACAACTTCTTTAACAACTTCACAACGGCTTCTTCAAACAGTTGCAGCAGCCCCAACAAGACCAAGACCGTAAATAACTGGATAGAGCTTACTACAAAGTCAAACGAGAGTTTAAAAGAGTAGAGTGGGTAAAGTTGCTTGAGTGAACCTACGACAAAGAATGAAATTGCACAGGTAGAAAAGGATAATTTAAATAGCACAAAGGAGGTAAGCAATATTTTGTACATCTTAAGGGAGGCAGTATACTTAATAATCAAGACAAAACAACGGGATATGAGATGCAGGAGAGCCTAGTTAGATTTGGCCTACCAGCTTGAAGAAGCCTAATAGCTAAATGTGTAATGAATGTTCCACACAAATAATAGTCCCTAAACCACCCTGGTCATATCTAATAGGGGCAAAACTTCAAAAACTCTAAATACAAGTTGGTAAATAACTCCAAAATCTAACTCCAAAAAAAAAAAAAAAATCAGCCACAACAGAATTCCATTCGAACTAAATCACAATCTACACCGACAATGCTTAAACCATTCCGAAGTAAAACGTACAGCAGAAAATGCAGAAAAGAATGCGGTGGCGCACCTGACCGGTCTGGCCCAAAGTGATGGTGACTTGGGGCCGAGCAGACATCTTCTCTATGTTTTCCTCTTGAACCAGAAATCCTAACTAATTAGACAGCAAAAAAGATAGTACGCACAGAATAAGTAACTCGAGCATAGAAAAACATGTGGAGGAAATAAAACAAGAAGAAAGATGAAGGGGAACATGGACGGCAGAGAACGGTAGATGCAGACTCACCACATCCGGCGGAGAATACGGCAGCTCAAGAGTAAATACTGTTGATGTACAAGGGCGGTGGCCTGATCTCTTCCGCACCGGCAGTTAGCGCAGCACAGAGAGAGAAAGAGAGAGAGAGAGAGAGAGAGAGAGCGAGAGGCAGAGAGAAAATCGTTGACAGCAAAAAATACTCGCTCAGTTCCCCCTCGACCTAGTTCCTGTTACAACAGCAAGATGGTTGTTTCAAGATTCGTGCTGATGACGATGAATTTAAACCTTTTTATAGGGTGCTTCGAATGTAAAAATTAAAGTTTAGGGGTGAGATAAATAAATGCATTTTAATTGGGTTCTATTATGTAAATTTCCCAAATTTATATTTCGATTTTTTTTATGCTATAATCTATATCAAAAAACTACTCCTGCAATAAATGGTATAAGACAATTTCTTTTCTAATAATTAATTTAGCTAATTGATGTAATATATATTACATTAATAAAATATTTTACTCCCTTATTTACCGTACAAGTTCATTTTAAACGGAAAATTCCTAGCTACGTATTTACATATGTAACACCTAAAATTATAAATATTAAATTTATAGCACTCAAATCTTTAAAATCACATAAAAAAATATCACAATTTTAACTTCTAAAAAACACAATATTCATTTTCATGACAAGTTTAACGGAGTCGGGGTAAAAATCAAAATTTAGGTATTAGAAATGCAAATACATCGAGTTCAAGTACGCATGTAAATCATTCAATTTTTTTTATAAAATTTCTAATTTTTCATATTATAATAATAAACTAGTTATTATTATATTACAAATAAAATACTTTATGTTTAGAATTAAATGTAGTATCTAATGAGCTCTAAGTTGTTTTTAAAAACTATTACTTGGTATTAACTAGATACATAAAATATAAATTAAAAAAAACTATAGATATTAGGATATAATAAAGATTTAAACTTTTTTCTCCCATCCAAGTTCATAAACTAGAGAAACATATAAAATGAATTTCTCATAATCACAAACAATTATTTTAAGGCTCTTCAATTCTTTTTAATAACTGCCTCTTCGATAACTCCAGACAAATGTTTGGTATAGCTTTCTGTCTGCTTCACATTTCACACCACAAACTTCTTAAATATTCTAAATTAAAAAAAAAAAAAAAAAACTCTGACAACTTCTTAAATATTCTAAATTAAAAAAAAAAAAACTCTTGCTTGAAAGATGAAAAATTTCAAAAAGTAAAGTTAGAGCGTTCACTCTGCCAGGAAAAAATAAAAATTCTAAATTTATAATAAATAAACAAATAGTAAAAAAGAACAGTAGAAGTGATCCTTTTTTAGTTACAACAAGAAATAATTTGAAATATCCCTTACCATATTTTTAAGTCATACAAAACAATTATTGCCTCAATGCCCTACAAATGACCGTCATACGGAACATGACGAATGTCTGCACAACAACATTGTTCAATCAAAACATATAGCAGAAAATGCATAAAAGGAGTGCAGTGTCGCACCTGACCAGCTTGGCCTAGTGTTACGACGACTTGTGGCGTGGTACAATTCACACTGATGTCCAGACATACAATCTCTAGACGTTATATTTTCTCCCAAATTGGCATATCAAGAAAGCAATACAACACATGTAAAACAATAACTGCAATTCCGACATCTCTCCACCAAATTAAAAATTTTAAAAAAGAAATGTAAAATATTATGACAGATTTTTCCCACCAGAAAACAAAAAAAACCAACAAATTATAATAACTAAAATATCTGATTGTAAAAAGCTATTCCCCAAACAAAAAACTTCTAAAAATCACAACTAAATAATAACTTAGCAAAATAAACAAGAAGAAGATAATGCTCTCTCATTAATAGAAATTCGCAAGGAGTCAAAACTAAGCAATGTGAAATAAATTGAGAATTATAAATAAAATATCAGACTAGTGAATAAATCCCACATAAAATTTCATGGAAATAAGTAGAGATCCAACATGGTTAGGCCATTATTATGTTGGCAAGACTACACTTTTATTGATGGCCAGAGTCTAATAAGAGCCGTGAATAAATCCCACATAAAATTTCATGGAAATAAGCAGAGATCCAACATGGTAAGGCCATTATTATGTTGGGAAAACTACACTTTTATTGATGGCCGGAGTCTAATAAGAGCGTAAGAGCCCCACTCTTACCTTCTGCTTTTTATGGATGCAGGAGCTCAATCACTGCTTTGATCCAGCTGCAAAAATTTAAGGAAAATTTTTTTTGAGGAAGTTTATATTTGGTAGGAGTTCATGGTATTTGTCAGTGTAATGCTGAAGATACTTGCCATTATTATATTTTCCTTGTTGCTCTCTTATTTTATTTTTGTGGCATTTACATGCATGCTACACACTTGGTATCTTTTTAAAAGTGAAATACACATTTTCATGCATGCATAGGCTCATAAATGTAAATATTTTATTGTAAGTGTTTAGATACGTAAATACATGAGAATTGTGTGGTATGTATGCAAATTTCCCTTTATTTTGATTGACAATCCAAAAATGGTAGGGATGCAATTAGCTGCTTGAGTTGATATATATATGAAGATATTTCATGAACAACAAGCAGTATGATATTATACACATAACAAAGAAATAGGAAAGCTTTACATTTTGAGATTAATTCTGTCGCCTCTCTTATAGCGGCACTGGCAGCATAAAGGACCATCTTTTTAACCTAAATGCAATAAAAAGATGAAACAATATATTATTTCATAATCATAAATATTGAGACATATAAAGAAGACTTATACTCTACAGTGCGTAAGAATCACATAGAACTTGATGTTGAAACGGATATATGCCTCAATGATGCATATAACATGAAGGGAGTTCATTTTGTACATAACTATAACTTGAACCCTATATCACTTAGCCAATATATGCTTGCAAGGAAATTTAAATGCATGCAAAAGTTGGCATATTCTGCACAAACCAACATAAAGGGATGTAATTAGCGAAATAAATTTTAATAATCTGATGATGAAGGCTTGTTGTATGCACAGTTAGCCTTGCTAACTCAAGCCCTAATTGTTATGACCTCGGTTTAGGGTTTAATCTTAATCCATATGCACCATAAGCTTGTTCTTGGATTGAATGAAGATTTAGAGTGTGAGGCACACAAAAAAGGGCCCAGCCATATTAAGAAAGAGGTGGACAAAAACTATGGTCCCATGGCTTTCAACACTCCAAAAACTAAATGGTATGTCCATCATTCTAAGTTTGCTTATAAGATTATTAACCGTAGGGTTACAAAGTCCTGTGGTAAATATGTTAGAAAATTGATTTCCTGTTGGCACATATGAAGTGGATATCAATTAACTTTTCAATTTTTCTTATATGAAGTGTTTATCAAATTTCACATGCTTGGTATAATCGTGTTGAGCTAAATTATATTCTATATTGATAGTAGATTTATTATCATGGTATATCTTCATTGGTTATTCTCACCTGAACTTTAAATAATTTAGTATGATCTTGACCCATAAAAGCTCACCGATTCACATTCAACACTAAGTTTTGATATAATTGGTCATTTCTCGGTCCTTCAAGTTACGAGATTTCTTGCTCATAACAAACAATATCCTGAAGATCGACTATTCATAGGAGATCCAATATAGTCTACATCAGTATATTCTTCAATTTATAAATTATCCTATTTTTCATAATAGAATTCCTTTACTTTATCTTGATGTAAGGTATCTGAAAATTGATAGGTAACTTGAAGGTGAGATTCCCCTAAATTGATAGGTAACTTGAAGGTGAGATTCTATATGTTTATGCATGAATAATTTGGCAAGACTTATAGCGAATGTATTGCGGGGTCAGGTGTGAGATAAAAGGATTGCTTTTTCAACTATTTTTGATATTATACAATATCCTCTTCGGCTCCTTTCCCGGATATGTTCAACTTCTAACTTGGATGAGTGGAAGTTTTACATGTCTTGCACTTCTTAAATTTTTCCCTTTAGTAGGTCCATGATCTATTTTGGAGAAAAATATTGCTTGTTCAGATGAAACAAAATCTATGCCGAGTAGTATCAAAGTTTGCATGGCTTTTTATTTTTTTTCTGGATAGTCAAACCCAACTTATGGACCATTTTGCTCCGTGTTTGAGCATGTTCACCTAACTCTTTAAATTCAAATTATTTGAAGAATTTCTTCTTAGACACCTCTTTCTCTTGAGTGACAACACAACTCCCATCTAAACTTTTGTAAAACTACCAAGCCAAATTCTTGAGTATTGTTTTATTGCAGACAAAGCCTTTTTAAATTTGCAAATATTATTTTTTGTAAAATAACTATCAAATCCTACTAGTATATATACATAGGCTTTTATTTAACATTGCCATACAAGAAAGTATTCTTCACATCATACCATTGCATCCATCATTCAAGATTTATAACTGAAAAAATGAGAATGTGAATTATAATTTATTTTACAATGGGAGTAAAAGTTTCTTGATAGTCAATTCTATAAAACTGAGTGTATCATTGACTACAAAGTTTACTTTGTACCAATCCAATACCCCATCTGCCTTTTATTTTATATATAAAAAAAAATCACTTGCATCTCACAGTTCTTCTTTTTGGCTGTTTCACAACCTAACAAGTGTGACTTTTATCGAGAGCATTCATCTATCCTCTCATAATGCTCTTCCAATTCTATTTTTGCGGTTCCTCAATTAAGATTTGTGATACTATAATGGACATTTTTAATCATACTATGGCATGTATTGTAGAGCTAGATTTTCTGAATTTTGTCCTTTTCCATCTCTTGATATTAGTTTGATTTCACTCTTTCAGATGAGAGAATTGAGCAGAGAAAGAAGGTGTTGACACAAATTGCTAAATAAGTGATGCGGGAGCCATCCCGCTGGAGGCCATCCACGACCCTAGCTATAGTAGCCGCGGAAGATGGCGAATCGGACAGGTCCATGAGGGCTGGTCGACACTTCATTCTCGTGGATTTTCCGCCTATTGGGAGTGGGGTTCACTTCTATTTACCCAAAGTTTATAAATATGTGGGTTTTGTGTTTTAGATCAATTTTTGTGTGTTTTGTATCGTGACAGCCGCTGACATCTCTTCATCCCTTCGTGAGTTTTATCCGAGGGTTGGTGGTACTCCAGCTGTATCTCTCTCTCGATAAGGTGTTTATCATCCCTATCCCCTTCAGAATCCACCCCACATTGCTCCCAATCGCCCTTCATTATAGCAACCACCCAAGACAACATTTTGATTGTTGTTTTGTGCAGCTCCATTCATTGGCAACACCATCCCCTTCCCCCTGCATCACAGCCACAAAAGGTCCAACTCTCCAACATTGCTGCCACCGCTGTCCAACTATATTGTTTCGTTGTCGCCACACAAGAACCCAATCACCTTACTGTTTTCCTGCCACCTTCAACCTCCTAGCCGCCTTCCTCCCTTCCTGCATTGCTGCCGCCCAAACCGCCCATTTCCAGCCTTGTTATTGTTGTTACAACCCTCTTACCATGTTTCCGCCACCCAGGTCAGCCACGGAACACTACCTTCCTGTTGTTCCGCTGCTGCCCACCCCAACTTCTTGTTGCCACCATTCAGGACAACAACCATACATGCTGCCACTGCATTTTCACACTTTTCCCTCAGTGCTCCCAGCATTCCTTTGCTGCCACCACACCCACCGGCCATTCTGATCCACCTAGCCAACCTCCACTACCCTTGGGATACACTTTAGTGGTGTTTGCTTGTGTATGTCGTTGTATTTCCTTTTCAAATGTGTTTGTTTGTAACCAACTATTTGTTTTTTCTTTAATAATATTTGCTTTTCCGAATATGGTTGAGTTACCTTGGTATCAATAAGACTTATTTCAGAGAATTACGGAGCTGTTGTATGCCTAATAAAGTAAGAGCAGTTCATCAAGATTCATATAAGAAGAGAGAAATTAAGGCATAGAATTTCTAACACAGAAAAAAAAAAGAGTGAGACCAAAGATAACAAGAAGAGAGAATCAAGGATTATTTTGTTCAATTTATAGTTCATTTAATATTAGAACAGCATCAATTCGGTACCTATTTATATAAATAGGATTACAAGAAAACATCAAATTAATTTGAATTCAAATCTACAATTATCAAATTAATATTAAGTACAATCCCAGCAATGAAACGTAAAAAAACTGAAATAAATTAAAAAACAGCCTAAAATTCCAAAATATTCTAGAAATAATCTAAAATTAGACATGGCATGCATTGTATCAACTCCCAAGAACTACTTCATATATTTCTTGAATATTTAGGAATGTATAGCTTGAACAAATCAAGTAAAAGTTAGACGCTTCAAGTTGGAAAATTGCCAAGCATCATACATATTTACATAGACCAGTACCGTGAAGATTCCATAGTCACATGGGCGATGGAACGAGAAGTATAACATGAATTCGATCTATATTGTAAGAGACGAAACAAGCATTAATCTTGGAATATGACAATCAATTTGAAAATATGCAGAAGAACCTTGCAGGAAAATCAAACTTTAAAACTCAATATATACATAACATAATTTTGGTATTAGCAATAAGCTCAACACAATATCAGATTCAGGCTCACTAGGAAGCTTGAATATAGATGATTGATCATCACCATCATCAAGAAGGTTATCTATAGAACCCAAAACACTAAAATATTACGCTTCATAAATCAACTCATCACGAAGATTAGGTTTTGAAACTAAGGGAGGAAACATAAATGCGAACCACAGGCATCGGTTCCTTAATTTTTTGAGTTTAAATAATTGGTGTTTACTATTAGGGCTGTATACGAGCCGAGCTTGAGCGAGCTCAGACTTTGCTCGTGTTTGGCTCCTTTGAAATAGCTCGTGTTCGAAATCGGCTCGTGAACAGTGTGTTCGTGTTTAACTCGAAATTGGTTAGTTAAAATTAAACTGAAAAAAATAGATGTAAAGTGTAAAATTCGAACCTGGACCAAATGTATACAAAAGAAGGCACTAACCACATTACCACATGGGGTGTTATGATTTAAACTTAGATATAAATATATATAATATATTATTATATAAATAATACATGTAATATATTATTATATAAATAGTTATATAATTTTGGAACTATTTGATGTGGTGGTTATCGTATGGACAGGGTGTCATGTTTGGGCCCTCCCACACAATCTATCTGTATCCTAGTTTATATTTAATATATTAGCCTTTGGGCTTTCTCATATATATATATATATATATAATTTGTTGTGTTTAGGTTAATTTTGCTTCCGATTGATTGTCTTCAGTGTCTTCTCCCTTGCAACATTTGTATCCAGCTACAAGGTGTTGACTATCTCTTCGTTTTCCTCCATTTTACAAGCTCCACTGCCTGGTACCGCACTCCCCATCACCCAATGTTTGTTGCCGCACCCTCCCACAACCCCGTTGTCAACTGTCACACCTTGTTGCACACTCTAGCAACCTTCTGTTTATTGTCAAACCACCAATCCACCTTCCCCTCACTACTACTAAATATGCCTACCCTTTCAGTTCTCTATTTCCACTATCTCGAGACGCGGCCCACCACCATCCATCCTTGTTATGGGAGTCTTTGGGGTTTGTGTCATTGTTTTCCAATGTTTAAGAGCCTTGTCTGTAGCCCCTTTCAATTTTAGCAATAAAATTATCATTTCGTTGT